CCCCCCTTCCCCGTGCTCTCCGCCCCCTCCCTCTGGCAGCTAGCAGGGCAATTGGTAGGGAGGAGCTGCGGACTGTGAGGACCAGGGGGGCTCAGGCCCTGCCCTCCTCACCAGGAGGGGCTCCGTATGCATTCCTTGGTGCTCTCTGAGTGCAGCTGACGTCTTGCCCCGTTTGGAGCGGACGCCTGTGTGCATGTGTGTGCGTGCCTGTCCGATGTATAGTGTGTCTTAGCTTCCATTTTAAAAATTGTTCTGTACAGAGAGATGCAGTGGGGTGGGAGGGCGGAGTGGGCGGAGGGAAGCCACCCCACTACCAGTGCTGGGTGTCTGGGGTGGGAGCCAGAGGGCTGCCGAGGGACTGGCCCCAGCCCCCCCTTGTGCTCAGCACAAAAGGGCTTTCAAAATTAAGTGAAAACTTTTTTTTACAAAAATCAACAAAGCTCCGAAACTATTAAAAATAAAATACAAACTTGCAGTAGTAGCTTGTTTGCATGGGGTGAAGGGAGTGGGGCCCCAGATGAGAGTCTCTGAAGGACGAGGCAGGCCAGCTCAGCTGTTTCAGCCCAGGCTCCGGCCCCACCTGGGCTGGGAGCTCTGCCTCTACCGAGGACACAGCTTGTGCACCCACCCCTGAGCTGTGGCTAGGCTGCTGCAGAGGCCTAAGGGCTCCCTGGGCTCATGTTCTCTGAGCCAGGTCTACTGTGGTTGATGTGGTGGGGACCGTGAGCCTTGGACACAGACCTCCCGGCCCCACAACTCCTCTTTAGGACTCAATGGACAGCTGCCACTGGTTATTTTTTGTTTTCCAAAAGATGGCAGGGCCCCTAGTGGTTTCTCAGAGGAACAAACAGTGCCTTCTCAGAAAAACATTAAAAGTGGGGCCCAGAGGAGGTGTCCTGCCTCACCCCACCCTGCCCCCTAAGGGCTGAGTGTCCCAGCCTCTGAGCCACCGCCTCCCTCCTGCTGCTCGCAGCTGGCCTGTTGGGTGTGAGAAAACAAAGCTAATGGGCTCCTCTCTGTGTGGGTCTCAGGTTCAAAGCTGAAAGGGGTCATGGAGATATCTCATACCTCCCACACATGTGCAGGCTCAGAGAGGTTAAGTGACTTGACTAGGGTCACACAGCTAGAATGACAACTGGGCATCAGGCTCTGACTCTCAGTACACAGAGCACTGCCCTCCAGGCAGGGCTGAGATCTCACTCCTCTAAGCCCTGTTGTTTAGAGCAGCCACTCAGCCTCAGCCTGCACCCCTGGGAGGCTCCCCACTCATGGTGCTCCCCCTGGAGTTCAGGCCCCTGTGCTGGACAGTGACCACAGAAACGGGTGTGTCCGTGGCGTTTTGTTCAAAGCCCTTTGTCCACATACCAGTAACACCAATTACCCCAGCACCTGCTTCTGCATCAGTTGCCCCCACACCTACCTCATTGCTCTGTAACGTGGGGGAGTCATGGGTGGGCCAGACCCAGGGTGGGGGCAGGTCAAGGTGTCTTGCAGGCTGGGCAGGGGTTTGCATGACCTGACTGGTCTGGGCCCCACTGCAGGCCGACAGTTTATTCTCTAAGAGAACAATGGATTGTGATTTTTTTTTATTTTTGCTAAGAACATTTCTAAGTGGCAGGTACTGGCTCAGGAGGAGATGTCCTCAGTAGATAAGGCTAGCCAAGCTGTCCTTTCTGCTTCCACCCCTCCATGCCAGCCCCACTGCTTGCCAGCTCTCACCTAGCAGAATCAGGTCCCTGGCTCCAGGCTCCTTAGCCTGGGTGTTGGTAGCCCCCTCAGGAGAGGACTTGGGCTCCCTTCATTACAGCTGCCCTGCCCCCAGGTCCTCATCTTGGTCAGGGTCCCCTCTCCTCCCATGAGAGGGCCCCTGTGCCCACAGCTCTGGCCCCCACCCAGTGGCTAGGTTTGCTGGGGGGCAGCCGACTGAGCCCCTGCTTTACTAGAGCAGCTCTTCCCAGAGAAGAGCAGGGTAGGAGGTGCAAACAGCTGCCCCCTCCTTCCCCGGTGCTGGGATTTGGCAGAGAATGCTGAGGCCAAGGCTAAAGGCAAGGAGGGAGTGTAAATACTGCTAACAGTGTCCCCATCACCGTGGACCCCACTCTGGCAGGAGACCAGAGGGGGTCTGCACTCAGGGCCTTCCGCATGCTGGGGCTCCCAGACTTGCAGGACCCACCCTCCACTGCTATCGCCCTGGCCGTGGGGCATGCTGGGAGGCCTGCTTGGCTCGCTGCCGCCGCAGCTTCACAAACACCTGGGCCTCGCGGTCACCCTTCCGGCTCTCCAGCAGCTGCAGGATGGGGTCCCCTGTGAAGAGAGGCATTTGGGAGTCAGATTCTGGGGGAGAGGCAGTGCCCAGATAGAGCAGGGGACCTCAGGCTAGCTAGTTAGCCTCTGTGCCTGTTTACTCATCTATAAAATAGCAATAGTATCTGCCTCATTGGGTGGTTGTAAGGATTGAAAAAATAATATATGTCAGGTGCGTAGAACCCATAAGTGCACAAACATGACCCAGTCCTGTTAGCAAGATGGCCCCTCTCCCCAGGTAAACTTGGTGACCTTTCTCCACCTCTCTGGGGGCCCGTTTGAGCCTTCACAGGCTGCCCCCTCCCCTCTGTCCCCAGTACTGGGCTCAGGCCTACCATTGGGTGTGGGATAGGTGAGGGGCAGGCGCGTCTGAGGCACCGCCCCAGACTCCTCTGTCCGGTTCAGGCCGTGCACGGAGCACAGCGGCAGGAAGGCCTCCCCTTCCAGGTCATCAGCCCCCAGCGTGTCATGGTCCAGCACCGTTAGCAGGAGGCATGCCCCGTCCTTCTGGCAGGGCTCAGCGGGCACCAGGCTGGGGGAGGGGGCAGAGCTGGGCTCAGCTGCCCACCCCACACACTGCCACTGCCATCCACCCCCCTCCACCCCCCAACATGGGTTCACCTCCTGATTCCTGAGGACAGACCAGGACTGGGAGAAAGAAGCTCAGATGGGGAGAGGATTGCAAAGTATGACTGTGGGCTGATGCTTTATACAAGGGGGCCCTGTGTCCCCAGGCCCACCTGTGTTGGGGAACAGAGGACTTCAGGTTCAGGACCCTTCCCTGGAAGTAATGGGGAGTCTTCTCCCAACAGTCTTGCCCTCCCAGGGAGCAGGTTTGGGACCTATGCGAGCAAACCCTTGTCCCAGGTGCCCCTCCCAGGGACCCAGATGAGGTCCTCTCAGGGGAGACCCTTGGCCCCAGCCAGGAGGAGCAGGCCTAAGGCTGGTCCAGGGCTGGGGAAGTGCCGCAAGTATGGGGACCCACTCACAATTCAAAGGTCTCATCAAACAGCGGGTGAAGATCCTTCTTGTGTTTTTGGGTCTCCCGGGGAGCCAGATCAGGGAATTCGTGCCTGGGCTCCAAGGTCAGCTGAACAAAAGGGTCGCTGGAGCCTGGCAAGTGGCCCAAAGAGGGGACAATGGCCAAGGATATCCGAGCCCTCCTTCCAGCCCCCATTCCCTGCAGCTGTGTCCTGCTCAGCACTGCCCCCTCCTGGTAATCCAGAGGAAATGCACCCAGTGCTCCTGCTGGGGGAGCAGAGTCTCCAGGGACTTGGGGGAGCAGGGCAGGGAAATGGAGTGACCCCTGGGCAGCCTCCACCCACCATTGGAGTCCAGGGGCAGCAGGCTGGAAGCGCTGAGCAGCTCCACTCGCAACTTCTGCTCAGAGGCAAGGTAGGAGACCTTGACTGTGACGGCCCCAAGCTCCTCACTGGTGGTTTCTGCCTAGGGGCGGGGCACAGGGGCAGTGTCAGCTGGGGCTGGGCTTGAGCGGCAGGGCTCCAGGTGAGGAAGGGAGCCTCACCTGCTGCTGGAGGCGGCCACAGAAGTACTTGCGGATGAGCTCCCGGCTGGAGGCCGCCTGCAGTTCCAAGTCCCTCTGCAGAGCCTGTGAACAGCAGAGAAGTCACCGGAACTGTCACACTCGGTCACAGCCCAGCCCTGCCCTGCTGGAGCTCGAAGCCAAGAGGGGAGACATCAATTTGGCATGGAAAGCTCTGGGCATTAAGGGACCACGGGCAGGGGAGCACACCCTCAGGATTGCCCTGGCAGACAGGCACGCCTGACCCGGGGAGGAAGCCACGCAGTCCCACAGCACCCTTTCCACCATGCTTAGAACCTTATGCTCAGGTAATGTTCTCCTGTTGTCTTCACGTTTTAAATCACGTTTGAAAGAGGCCTACATTTTCATTTGGTGCTGGGTCCTGTAATTATGTAGCTGGCCCTGTGCACAGGCTCCCCCGCCCCAGACACACCAAAGGCTCGTACCTTGAAGGTGGCTGTGTGCAGGGCCTCAGGTGGCAGGCCACAGCCCTCCGCATAGAAACAGATCTCCAGGTTCTATAGGGTGAGGAGACAGACATCAGAGATGACCCCACACGCTCGCCCACAAGGGTTATCACTGCGTCACTGGTATTACCTGCAGCGCAACCTTCAGCCTGCTAGAGGCCAAGGGGCAGCTCCGCTGGGAGGTGGCCACCTCCGCCAGCACGGTGAGCGTGTGGGTCCAGAGCAGGGCCAGAAGGCTGGGGTGAGGCGCCAAGGGGTGCCGGACACAGGACAAGAAGCCGGACGAGGAGGAAGCAGAGATGTTTTTGAGAAAGGGCCTCGTGGGACCCAGGCCCATCCACAGCTCCTCCCCACCCCCACCCTCCAGCAGCGTCACAGGTGAGCCTGGGGCCAGAGGCGCAGGCAGGAGTGAAGGGATGGGGAGTGAGGGCGGGGAGCTGGCCAGTCCCATCCAGCACGCCGCCCGCCTAGTGAATACTCCTTCTCGGGGTTACCAAACCCCGACAAACGGTGTGGGGGAGGCGGGTCCTCCAATGACTGAATCCTGAGTTGAGATTCAGTTGCAGGCTCGGTCCCCAGCCCGCTGGGG